AAAGTGGGCAGCCAGGCCTTGCGTCAGAAGCTGCTGGTAAGGGAAGAGGAAAGGTCACTCCAGTCTTTACTGCTGGTTTTCAGTCTGATGGCAGGCTTCGGTCCCTCTCTGGGTTTTGGAATGGGCCAGTTTTCCTGGAATATGCTTTTATTGAACTCCAAAAGGCTGGATGTTTTCATGCAGATTAATTCATGATTTCAAAGACTCTTTGAAGATGACAAAACATTCTATTATTTCCAAGAGTTATTACTGCTGAAATATGGGCATAGCCTGGGAGGGCAGGCTGCAATCTTGTTTAGATCCTTTTAAATTTAGAAACTTTACAGTGGCTTAAAAATAGATCCCATTTGTGAGCTTTCTCCTCCTCATCCCTACTCCAAGAGTTGCTCAGTCATTCTGACCCACCCCAGACAGGAGCCAGAGAAACTCAGGGAGTCTGCTGGACCATCACAAATCTCTCTAATGAGTCTTGGGGTGATATTAGTCATAGGAGTATGCAAAATTGCTGATTACCAGACAGAGTAAGTTCTAGAAGTAAGGGCAGAGGATGCCACTAAACTCCGTGAACAGTAGTATATGTGTTCATGTTGGTGACAAGTGGCTCATGAGGGTAAAAGCTGTCCAGCAGTGCTCTTGAGGATGCCCTGTGACAGCCACCACAGGTGTACGTGTGCTAGGGAAAGATGAAAGGACTCAGGTCCAAGGAGCTCACACTGCACCCCATCAAATGGTCAATGAGAGTTTCCCTGATTGTAGACCATTGTCTCCCTGGTGCTGGGCGGGGCTAACTGTGTGCCAGCATTCCCATACTCAGCCAAGGGGACACTGTGACACTGAGGATGGCCCCTTCATGGTTACTTACCTTCATGAACATGCTGAATCCGGTTTTAAGGAGATCAGTAAGGCCTGAGGATGTATGTTCAATGTCAATGGGATCTGGCTTCTCAGGATTAAATATTTCCTCCACAACCTGCTTCAACAATGGTTTGTAGGATGCCTGGAAAGACAGAACATTGAACTATGAGCAAAAGCACTTTTTTTTTTTTTGCTGTGTCTGGAGACAGTTTCACCTGCATCAAAGAAATTAAAGTGAGTTCAGTTTGATACTGAGCAATGGCTGTGATTTTTTTGTGTGCAAGGTTATAAAACAACCTTGAGTCTTTAAAAATATTCATTAATTCCTTGAGAATTTCATACAATGTATTTTGTTCATATTTACTCCAACTCCTCCCTTTAATTTCTTCCAGATATGCCCTCCTCTCCCTACCTCTCTTTGTGTCCCCCCACCCTTTTTTTGTATTCATTTAAATACTGCCTGGCCCATTATCTCTAGAGAGTTAGTCTAGATTAACCCATTTCTAATAATTTGTGTAGCACCACGCCCACCCTTTTATTATTTTTTTTAATAATTTAATACCACAGGGATCCCAACTTGTGTTCATGCAGTTCTCCAGTACTGCCCTGGCTCTCTAGTCTCTTCTGTAACCAAGTGTCCCTCAGCGGAGCTATGGTCATAGTAGGACTAAATGCTCCATCTAGATTTAAAGTGATGGTTTTATGTAGGAAGTACGGTAGAAAGTCTTGCCATTTGATATAAACATGAAGATAGTCTCTAAACATTCCTAGACTCATCCCTCTGCTTGGAATGTGAATGTTTATTTGCAATGGCTGTCAACATCCAAGCTAATCCTCCTTCCTCCACAGAGCTCAACTCCATGTGTGACTATGTCAGACAGAGGAGCTGAGAAGACAGAAGGAATCTGACCCGGGTCAGGGTGGCACTGGGTCACGGAGCACTGTAGCCATCCCTGAAGATAAAGGTGATGCTAGATTACAACACCTCTGCTTTGATGGATGGTGCTGGACACTTTCCTTTTCTGTGACCTAAATACCCTGCAGGCCCATATTTAGCTCTGCCTGGAAGTGGCTGCCTTGCTGAACTCTTTCCTGACTTCTTGCTAGAAAGTGAGTCCTGAATCTCCTTATCCCACAGACTGCGCCACCTTCCTCCAACCCCACAGCTGTCCCACACTCATCTGGCAATGCATCTGGGGTGTTCAATGCCCCGGCACAAGTGGTGTCTCCCTCTCTACACGTTCTGATCCATAACCACCCTAGGAAAGCCAGCTTCTATCAGGGCACTACTGAGAGGCAGCCTGTCTTGAGCTCTGGGTAGCTCTTTACATGGGGTAAACATGAGGTGCCGTAGCCACGGTTACAGGCATGCAGTGTACTGCCCTGTCTCGAGCTTGTTCTTGCTTTTCTAACAGGAATGCTGAGCTATCTTTCCCAAATTCTAAGTCCTTAAAATAAAATGAAGGAGTGTATAGACTAGCAACAAGTAGCAACACCAGTCTTGCCACACATTTAGGAGGTGAGTGTTTACTCAGTGGAAGATCCAAGTCTCTTGATACTGGTCAGGGAGACCATTGTACAGAGAAATTTTATGGTTAGTGATCATGCTGAGTGAACACTGGGCAGGAACACTGATAAGGCAGGGATAAAGCTACGGGCCAACCTTGCTTATGACTAGAGGAAATCAGATTATAGATATACCAAGATAAGTTTTCTTTTAAGATTTATTTTATTTACGCGTATGTGCCTTCAGAGGCCAGAGTAGGATGTGTGTGTGATTCCTTGGAGTAAGAAGCATTTGTGAGTCACCTGACTAAGATGAATTTTTAAAGGCCCAGACTGAAAAAAACCTGAAAGTCTGAAAACATATACTTTTGCCTTGGCCATGGGCTCTCAGGCACTCTCAGGTTGGTCGGGGAGGAAACGGTTTTAATCAAAGCAGAATGTATTTGGTAGTACCCATCAAAACTCAAGCTGCATCTGACACAGCAATTCCACACCTAGCAATTCATTTTTCAAGCTATATTCATGCATGGAAATATATTCAGAAACCACCATTTATTATCTGAAGAAAGGAATGATTAGAAGCCAGTCGTAGTCACTGTTCTATTGCTGTAAAGAGACACTATGACCGTGACAACTCTTATAAAAAGGCATTCAATTGGGGCTGACTTTCAGGATCAGAAGTTTAGATCATTATCATGATGGGGGGGGTGCATGTCAACACATGGTCAGACCTGGTAGCTAAGAGTCCTATATCCGAATCTACAAGAAGCAAGAAGAGAGAGACATTGGTCCTGGTGTGAGCATTTAAAACCCCTCAGCCCACCTCCAGATAAGGCCATACCTCTTAATTCCTGTCATTAGGGAGTAGAGGTTACTCCCTAGTGACCAAGCATTCGAATCTATGCACCACTGATTCATTCCCATGGGGGCTGTTCCTATCAAATCACCACAGGCACTCAAGTGCCCAACAACAGGGAGCTGTCTAATAAGTGAGGAATGCCTATAGCAAGGAGGGTTAGGCACATGACAAGGAAGGCTCCGTGGTGACAGACTGGCATGTGAGTGAAAGGTGCCAAGTGAGGAGCACGTGTGTCATGGGCTAGTGGCTACACAAAGTGGGCAGGGAGGACACAGCATCGGAGCTGCTGAATCTGGAACAAATGTGTGATAGAAGCATCTGTCTCCAGCGGCAACTGAAGGGCTGGTGCTGGCCAGGGACAGAGACAGCTGGAACTTTGGGTTGTGTGCTTTTTGTTTTCCTAAAGCAAACCATCAGTACAAACAGACCCCTTTCTGCTGCTAAAAGTTAATAAATTACTCATGCATGGAAATGAGATTGGGGTGAAATACACTCAAATCTGAGTCCTGGGCTCAGGAAGTAGCAGGTATTTGTTTTCTTTTCTTTCTCCATCTTCCAAATTATTAATTTTTCTTATGGATTTGTATTATAATAATAATATAATAAAAATTTTAAGGAAAGAAAACAACAGGCCTTCAGTTCCACTGACACTCTTCCTCAAGTAAACGGTGTGAAGGGCAAGCCGGCCGATTAGAGCTGGGCTGGCTGCTCCTTCCCCACCTTAATTCCACCTGGGATCTTAGTCCGCAGGATCATGCCCCTACACTCAGGTGGGTCTTCCCTACTTCCTTAGCTAATCTTCCTTGGAAATGCCCTCACAGACACATCCATAGATGTGCCGCACTAACACCCCAAAGCTTACTAATCCAATCAAGTTGTCTGTCATATTTTTCTTAACCATTAGAGTAACAGACTTAGTTTTCAGTCAGGTATATTATCAACAGACTAAGAGACCATCCTCCAGCTTGCTATATAGCTGGGGGTAGATATATTTCCAGTTTCTGGGTAGAGACATAAGCAGAAGGATCCCGTGGCACTTTTAGAAACATGCCTTTCAAAATGGAATCATGTCCTTGTCTTCGAGTTCTCTGGTCTTCTGCATGGAACACAGGGATATTCCTAAGGCCATAGAGCAGAGACAGGAGAAACTGGTTTCTATACAGGGCTGCTATAACCGTGACACAGACAGTCTAGCAAGGACCAGTCACTTCACACGAGAAATAAATGTTGGATGTCTAACTAACTAGTCTCCAGACCACTGTTACTTGCAACTGAATGAAATGCTGATACAAAGCACGAGGGGAAAAAAGACAGAAAGGGCCATCCCTTCCTTTGAACAGCTAATAGTTATTTGTTTGCTTGCTTTATATTAAACTGGCTATATAGAACAGCTTCAACCAGAACAACAGAGAAATACATATAGGCTACACATTAAGACAAAGAAGAAGTTGGACTGTGACAGAACTCACGAGGCAGAGTCAGGTAGATCTCTGAGTTCGAGGTCAGCATGGTCTACAGAGAGAGAGTTCCAGGACAGCCAGACAGAAACCTGTCTCAAAATACAGAGCAATAGAGATAGATAGATAGAGAGGCATACTCCATGACCTACACAAAAGAACATGACCTAAACAACCTAAGGCTGGAGCCATCCATAGTGAAGAGCAATGGTTTGGGGGAGGGTCAGACCCTGGTCAGGGTGGTTCTGAGTCCAAGCAGAAGCACTGTACTGTGCCTCTCTCTCCAAACCAGGTTGTACTAGGAGTGATGGGATTGTTCTTAGTACTCTAGAGACCCTAGCACAGATGGGGATTGGTAGGAAGCACAGATGGCTGAGGGAAAGCACGGACGCTCATAGACGGATGGCTCTCCCTCCTCTCTCCTATCCTTGGTTTCCTTTCTGCTCTCCGGTGAGGCTAAGCACTAGCTGTGCTTGCCAGTTGGCCTGGGCTCGCTTGGAGCAAGGATTTGAAGGCACCACCTTCATTCTTGAGTCTTTGTAATTGCCATGTATTACTGGGAAGCTCAAAAATCTTTCTTATTTATTTTAAAACAAATAAAGCACCATGCACTTCTCAGCCATGGGCCAGCAGAAGGTGGGCAATTACTTAGAATGTGGAAATTACCATAATTAAAAGTACAAGATAGCTAAGACATCAAACAAATCCAGAAGAGTCAAATATACACCTTTCTCTCCTGTCTGACACACTCATGTGACATGAATCTATTATACTTTTTTGGCCGCAACCTTTCAGATTCTATTCTCATATGACAATACTTTGTCTCTTTAAGATATGACAATTATTGAGTTGCAAGTCCTTTCTCCTATACACAGTTGTGGAAGGCTGGCCTGTGACCCTCCAGCTACGCTTGTACTTTGCCAGTTGAGCCTGACTCTGCTATAGGAGTGACAGAAGGGGCTGGCAAGGCAGCGGAGACCAGCAGGGACCTGCTCCACCTTGGGGCGCTACTAATACTAATAGATTTTTCTCGCCTTTAGGTCGACTTCAAGACTTTTGTTGTGCATCCAACAAATTACCTTTCCAGTTAAGCCATGTGTAGTGTTCTCCTTTTTTTTTTCCATTTTTATTTATAGCCAAAGCATAGTAAATAATAGAAGTGTTAGTTATTTTAAAAATAAATTCGTAATCTCTGCCACACGGATAGGGAAATTCTCAAATTGTCTATTAAAACAATGGAGTAAGAAGAGTTAAGGCTTGCATGGGTGAAGAATCAAGATTTGGGGAGGAAAGTGGCACTTGTCCTTCACCTGCCTGGAA